TGAGACAGGGTTTCTCTATGTAGTCCTAGCTGTTCTAGAATTCACTCTGTAGTCCAGGTTGGCCTCAAACTCAGAGAGATCCTACTACTTCTGCCTCCCGGATGCTGAGATTAAGGTGTACGCCACCACCGCCAGGCCAGGGTGTATTTCTTAAGGTATGTGTGGCAGATTGTGATATTTTTTCACATGGGCCCATAACAATAAGGCACAAAAGGACTTAGCTATACTGTACATCTGAAATGCTAAAATTAATTTTACTATGGTATATGATCTCATTAAAAAGAGTTTAAGTTTCTAAATTTAAAATCTTTAGAAATCTCTGGTACACTATCCATTTGTTTGGCCAAATTTAATTCAGTGATATTCAAGAAAATTCAGATTGAGCTCATAATCTGCACTGATTAAAATATAATATTAATTACTTAAAGTTTCTTGCTATTATTGTTTTAAAGGGAAATTCTTATGGCTTTTTAAAGATTTATTTTATATGTACAAATGTTTTATTCCCATGTATGTCTGTGCATCATGTGTGTGCCTCATGCCTAAGGAAGAGACTCTGAAACTGGAGTTATGGACAGTTGTAAGCCACCATGTGAGTGCTGGGAGTAAACCCATGTCCTCTATAAGAATAAGTGTTCTTAATTATTGAGTCATCTTTCCAGCTCTGTTGATTTTTTGTTTGTTTTATAGGGTATGAGAGTGAGTGAGTTGTGCGTGTGAGTGTGTTAATGGGTTGTTTTAGAACTATCTTCGTGGTGGAACTGAAAAGGGACATCTGGGAACTTTCTTTACCTCTAGCCAACTCCATCCAGCAGGTAAAGAGACTGCAAACAATGAGGCCAATCAAAAGATGCTCTTGAATAATGCAAACCTTAATTCTCAACATCTGGTTATGCAACAGGTTTCAGTCTTGGAATCCCTGTTGTTCTCTGGGCTTTGATGTTTCCTGCTCATGCCAATCTTGTTGAGAAGAAATAGTTCTCTGCTTTTATGAGTTTTGCAGCCAGTTTTGTCTTTTCCCTTCCTGGTATGTGGAAACATACCAAGTTGTTGAGAAACTTCTGTTTCCTCAAATCTTCCAGCTCTTCTTTCTTTTACTTTTCTTCAATTTAAGCTTTTAAACATATTTTAAAATTTGAAAAAAGTACTTAATATTCCCACAGCCTGGCATTTTGTTCCTTAAGCCTCACAGAAAAAGATCTTAGCTGGTTGCTCTTCAGGATTTTCAAACATCTTAACTCTCTCCCATCTTTAAATTCCTCTTTTTGTGCTGTTCATTAATTCTTTTCTGAACACAAATTTTCTTAATTAAAAAGGACCACTGTCTGTCTCTTCATCTCATAATGGATCCATCTAATGTGGAAATGAGATTCATTTGATGGCTGTGAAGAAGATCATTAACTCATTTAAAACTTTTTGTTCCAGTCTTTTTGTTCCAAATGTCTGTGACTCAAAAGGACTTTCACAAAACACTTCCTCCAACCCCAGCCTTCCTTCGTACAGCATAATCTAATCTTCACTTGTTCGTTGAATGCTATGCACAAAGCCTCCCAGGATTGATTCTTTGCTTCTGTTTATTCAAGAATATGAATGTGATTTTACAAGAAGAAATATATTTAGTGTCTCCCTGAGTTCGCAGCACAGAAGTCATAAAACTCTTGGGATTTCCTGAGTGATGGGGAAATACCTTTATAAAAACAATACAAAAACAAAAACAAAAAAAAAAAAAAACAAAAAAAACCCTTCCATCCATACCTGAGCCTATGGAAATGAGGTAAATCATGAAAGAAGCTAAGTGCCAAGAAACCATTGATTGGAATTTTCAGTCTTATTCCCTACCTCCAAGGATAGAAAAGAGGCTGAAATTGAGTTAAATCACCAAAGGCCAATACTTTAATCATCACACCAATATAATGACGATTCCACAAACTCTAACCAGTAGGTCTGGAGAATTTCCAGGCTGGCAAGCCCAAGAAGATGCTGGGAGGAGAATCAACCTGCAGATGGCATGCCAGTTTCTCATGGCCGCCACTGTACCTTAGCTTATCCATCTTTTCTATTTGGTGTACCTTATGAAATTCATGAGAATTGTTTTAAAATAAACCAATAACAGTAAAAAAATGTTTTACTGAGTTTTGTGAGTCACTCTAACAATTATTAGAGAATGCACAATTTATAGCTCGTGTGCACAAGTCACAACCCAAGGCTGTGGCTGGTGACTGAAGTAGGGAAGGGTTGCCTACCACCACGTGAGGCCTGTGTAAATACTTAGTAGTCTAAGGACTGAGTTCAGCGACAGGCATGCCAACTGATAGCCAGGGAACGAAGAGCATGACATGCATGGAGAACACATACGTGTTGTTGCTGAGAGAAGTGAGTGTAAAGAAAACCAGATGCTTATTTTCTTTCTAAATGCTTTTATCATACATGGTGTCTTCATAATTCTTCCTCATGCTACAGTTGTTTACATGTCTGCTTCTCTTACTAGACTGTACTTTCATCAGACTTGTATCCCTCATCCCCTGCTCAGTACCTGAGAAGAGTAAGTGCCCTATAAATATTTGCTTATGTTCTGCCTAACAGATGAACATGTACTGCACACAGACTCACAAGATGTGAGGGGCTGAAAGCATACACAGTCTCCCAGAAACGGTGAATGAACACATACAAATGTGTCTGTGCTCTGGGATGAACACTGCATTATTTTACAAAAGAAAGGTAGTGAATTAGACAGGAGTTGAGACCTTAACATAAGGAAAATGTAGTAATAGCACCAAGGAAGACTTTAGCAAGTGGAAGAAAATGCCTACGATAAATTGTTTAACTGGTGGAAAGTGGCTGAACAAACAATGCCAAGAATGTCAGTGGGGACAGCATTTTAGAATCACACCTAAACTAACAGAGCAAGCTGAAAGACAGGAGGAAGTTCCTCAGTTAAGACTAGTGTACATACGGGCACAAAAATAGCAATAAGTAATGTATGGAAGATATGTCAAGCAGGCTGTGAATCAATTCTAGATGTATGCCTTAATATACATCTAGATACTTAATGCAAGTAGTTTCCAGCAATTCATACAAGAAGGAAGATTTTTTTAATCAAGGCTGCAAGTAATTTTTAACAAGTAATTTTACAACTAACAACTTATTTCTAGTTGAGAGGAGGGCACTCGTTTATTAGTACTATAGTATCTATCTATTGAGAGACAACTACATGCCAACCATCATTCAAGGCACTAGAAAACAAGAGATAAAATTCTTTTAGGGAGCCAGATGTGGTGGCCCACACTTTTACTCCCAGCATTCGGAAGGCAGAGGCAGGTGGATCTCTGAGTTCCCAGCCTGGTCTACAGACTGAGTTCCAGGACAGCCAGAGCTACACAGAGAAACCCTGTACCGAAAAACAACAACACAAACCAAAACAAAATTCTTGCAGGGAAAGAAGGAAGTAAAGCTTAGGGCAGTCAGTGTTGGAGAGGTAAAGGGAGCTGATCAGAAAACTAAAAGAGAGAGTGTGTGGGGAGGTCGACAGCAGAGCAAGCCCAGCCAGGGGAGAGGTGTCCGGAACCCCTCAGGGCAGCACTGGAGCCGCCACCTAACCAAGTCTCACCACAGGGACAGCACACATGAAGACTGACACAGCGGCCCACTAGTCTATCTCAGGCTGGGCAGGGAAGCCAGTGTGACGGGAGTCAATAACATTTTTACCCAGAAGATGGGCAAATACTAAAAACAAACAAACAAAAACATTCCTAACGTCCAGAATTAGAAAACATGCAACGGAATGAACACTTCTCCCACCTCCCAGTAGGAGAGTAAATGGTGCATTCTTTATGATATGGGATGAATTTATATACACAGACATGCAGACATAAATAACTGGAAATGATGTCAATGCCCATTCACAGGAGAAGGGTTAAATACAGCACATGCTTTTAAAGGGCATCTAAGAAGTCCGAGGTACCCCCAAAGTCTGCAATCTCTGCAGCCTCAGAGAGCTTCTCTCACACAAGAATCTGATTTTTGTTCATCAGTTTTAGGCCTAGCAATACATCACATCAGACTTCATAAAGAAAGAGATGTGGGATCCTGGTAGTTTCTAGTCAGTCAGAAACCAAATATTTGTATGAAAAAATATGAAACAATGCTACTTACTCTCTTTTGTGCCATTAAACTTTTGAAGATTTAGACATTTAATTATGTTAACATGTAATGATTTATGTTTAAGTGAACAAATATTTAAAATCTGTTTTACTTAGTCTATAACACATTAAATATCAATAAATATAAGTTCTTTGCAATTCTCAGTAATTTTTAACTTTAATAGTATAAACTGGTTTCTAAGTCATAAAATTTCTGAAATATGTCAAATAATAATGTATATTTCAAAAATCATACTAAAAAGAATAATGTGCTAACATAATTAAAAATAAGAAAGCACTTTGACTAATTGTTTCTTTTATGTAGACATAATTTATTAAATTATATATATGTATAGACACAAAGACAAAATCAAGTATACATGCAAACTGAACTTTTCACTTTTTAAAACATGTCATATAGATGCTGTTTCCTCTGCTTGACATGCTTTTCCCATACTGCCCACATGGTAAACCAGTATCAGAATTCAAGGTTCATATTAAGGGTTTTGCCTTATCACTCAGTCATCCAACAGAAAAATGTTCTGTTCATCTGATATGCCATGAACTATCATGTTAAGGAACTCATTTCCAGCTACAATCTATCAGCATTCTGCTGTTCACACTGTCACTACCAAATTTATCATGTCAAACTATCTACTAACACATTTTTTCTTCCCAGCTTCATTCTGTGATCTGTGATAGGCATTTGTCTCCTATCCAATTATTCTTTACACATCTGGAATGCTACTTTTGCTCAAAACAAATGAGTTTTCCTCTTGCTTATGAGTAGAGCTAAATATTAAATTAAATTAATTAGCATTTAAATTTTAGTATTCATATCCAGAACATGTGTGTACTCACCTCATGGGCCCATAGTTCAGCATTATAAATGCCAGGACAATCATCACACAGACAGCTCTTCTCTTTGGACTTGGGACTTTAAGCCTCTGGTTCTAAAGGAAATGAAATAGGATGAAACTACATGTCAACATTACAAAGGGCAATAACTGAGAGTCCTCCTTTTTACAAGGTGTATGAAAACCTTTTCTCATACAAAAACAGTAAAGTAAAAATAAAACACCTCAAAGGTAAAGAAATAGTTCTTTGCAGAAGACCAAAGCCTTCCACATTCTCTTTTCCAACAGAGGAAAGAATTTTAAAGGAACAAATACAGCACAACTTTTAGCTTTATATTTCTGTGGGTCCTCGAGAACTCTGAGACACCTCGATGACTTGTGTCCCTTGCTTTAAGGTGCTGTCTTCAGCAACAGACCAGAGCGTTCTCACACACTCGGGGCCAAAACAGGAAGGACAGAGTAAGAAGCAGACTCCACAGGCATCCAGTGGTTCAAGGCGACAGAGCTGTGGGTGTCACGAGCAAAGCAGAAATAAACGTCTCTGAGTCCATCATGGCAACAGAAAGTGAAGGAGCATGACATGGGTCAAGTAGACAGACAAAGATTTAAAGCATGTTTTTATTTTGGCCTAGAAAGACATGCCCACTGCTTGCAACAGTGCCACAAATATCATAGGAGTAATCAACCACTTTCCGACTGAATTTTAATACTGCTGCATAAGAGAAACCCATACCTGGCACCATTACTGGGAGAAGAACCTGTGGCTATGTAGGTCATAGACCCTAAGAGAGAACCTCTGCCTATTAGTCTGCTAAATGGACATAGTATTAATGCACCCCTCAACCCTCATCAGAGATGCTTCTAATTGTAGCAGATGGTGATTAACACAGAGATCCACAACCAGCCACAGTGGAGAGAATATGAGACTTCAGAATGTTGAACCCTAAATGGAACATACATATCACACCTCCTCTCCCCGGGACTCAGGAGTCATTGGGGAATATGTTTCAGAATGACTATAAGGGCAGAATGTGGTAGATGACTACAAGGAAGCAGGAGGGCATTGCACATACGAACTCATGGTGATGTGACAGCACGCACAAGGCTGGTGCAAACCCAGGCAAACCAAACCCAGACACATGGAGGGAAGCTGGGCATGAAGGAGCTCTGAACTGAGGGGCTAACAGTAACTGTTAGCTGCTATGAGAGGTGGAGTCCAGTTTTTGTACTTCTGCCATGTTCCAGGGGAAGGCCACATATCCAAGTATATCTAGACAGCACAAAGTGGTCCCTATTAGTTTAAAAAAAGAGGATACAAAGCAGGATGGGTAGGGAAAGTGGGTAGATCCGGGAAGAGTCAGAGATAGGGAGGGTTGGATATTATCAGAGCACACTGTGTGAAAGTCTCAAAGAATTAATGAAGATATAAAACAAAACAATTTTTAAAAGGAAAAGACCAGTTCAGTGTGGATATGCATATCCATACTCCCTATACAAATTCAAGTTCAACCCAGTGAACATGTAAGTCCCAGATCATGCAGGGATATATAGTAAAATCTTGCCTCAAAAATAACCAAATAAAATTTAAATTTAAAAAATGTGAAAGAATGATAATAAAAAGAAAGAGCTGGCAGGACTGTTCAGGAGCCTCAGTGTGATTCACCGGGTCCAAAAAGATAAAAAGCTGGCATTGTGGCTCACACCTTTAATCCCAGCACTCAGGAGGCAGAGGCCAGCCTGGTCTACATAGTGAGTTCCAGGGCAGCCAAGGCTATTTAGTGAGGCCTTGTCTAAAAAACTAAGAAGAAAAAAAGAAAAAAAAAAAATGACTAAAGTAATTGGCTAGAAGAAACTCAAGAAACACAGATTGTGTTTGGATGGAGATGGGGACAACTGAAAAGGCCACCTTTCAGGCTGGGGTGTGGCTTTGTGCGAGAAGGCTTGCTTGGCATGCTGGAGGCTCTGGACTCAATTCTCAGCCCCCCAGAGAAAAAGTATCTTCAAAAGGTCATTGTTGCAATTTTTTTCCTACCATACATGTTTTTGTGCTTTTGCGCCCCCATTTTCTTAGCACCACTATTTTATATGATTTAAAAAGTTACTGTCAATTTGCTTATCAAAAAGAAAGTCAGTTCACACCCACCTCAGCCAGCTGTGTCTCAGCCAGCTGTGTCTCTAGCACTCACCTCTGACACCACCTCATCAAGCTGTCGCTTCAGGGAGCCGTTCTCCTTCTTCAGCTGCTCGTTCTCGGAGAGGGCAGCCTTCAGCCTGGCCTCCAGCCCCAGCATGTACTCCTTCTTCTTCTTGCGGGACTGACAGGCAGACTCGCGGTTCTTTATCATCCGCTGCTGTCTCCTCAGCACAGCAATCTAGGAAGTTACACCGAATCATCAGACTGGTTTGTGGCCACATCAAAATATCAAAACCTTACTGATTTTTCAAGTTATTTCTCAACAACTTTGGTCAGTTAGTGATTATTTTAAAACACGTTTTAAATGTCCTGCTCAAATTAAGTAAGCTCAAATAAAATGAGTAAAAAGGCTTTCTCAAACCTAACTGCTGGTGCTTTCTGAAGCACATCGTTTAGCATCTAACTTGCCCTTTAGAAACTCCCCCAGAAAGTGCCTCGAAGGAGCTATGTGAAGAAGTTCACACTGAAAATCCCAGGACTCCAGGATGTTATGGCGGGAGGACTGCTGCAAGTCTGAGGCCAGTCTGACCCTATTTTTAAAAAGAAAAAGGAAAAAGAAAAAGAAAAGAAAAAGAAAACAGGCCAGTCTGACCCTATTTTTAAAAAGAAAAAGAAAAGCCTGCAAATAAATCGTCTGGACGATGGAGAAAGCTCAGTGAGCACTCGCTGCACAAGCCTGGGGACTGGAGTCCTGAGTCCGCTCCACAGTACTTAGAAGGGTGGGGGGAAAGAACCAATTCTACAGGGCTGTCCACATGCATGCCATAGGACAGACACACACATCCCAGAGTGCACTGGCCCATTTACTCACGTACGTACACACACACACACACACACACACACACACACACACACACACGCACACACACGCGCACACATGCAAACATATACAATAATAATAACATAAAAATTCTAATTATTTGAAGTGTCTTTAAGTACATATATATGCAATTTTCTATCAGTTTTATTCATGAAAGAATTGGACCTAGAATTACAGATATCAAAGCCTGCAAATAAATGCTCATCTCTTATACAAAATGGCTTAGTATATGTACACAGCTTACTTACACCTGCCTTCACATGCTAAACCAGCAGTTCTCAACCTGTGGGTCACAGCCCCTTTGGCAAAATTTTTCTCTCCATAAATATTGACACTATGATTCAAACAGTAGCAAAATTACAGTTATGAAGTACCAACAAAAGTAATTTTATGGGTGGGGGGTCATCACAATATGAGGAACTGTATATACTAAAGGGTTGCAGCATTAGGAAGGTTGAGAACCACTGCAAAACCATTTCTGGATTACTTAATCTAATACAATATAAGCAGTGGTTATGCTCTAAAAGTTCTAGACATTTATAGTATGGGTGTGTAGCTAGAGTTTTCTTGCCTTGCCCACAGTCAGGACAAATCTCTGTCACCTGCCAGTCTCACAGCTGCTCAGACCCAACCAAGTAAACACAGAGACTTATATTGCTTACAAACTGTATGGCCGTGGCAGGCTTCTTGCAAACTGTTCTTATATCTTAAATTAATCCATTTCCATAAATCTATACCTTGCCACGTGGCTCGTGGCTTACCGGCATCTTCACATGCGGCTTGTCATGGTGGCGGCTGGCAGTGTCTTTCTGCCTTCCTGTTCTTTCTTTTCTCCTCTCTGTTAGTCCTGTCTATACTTCCTGCCTAGCCATTGGCCAACTGTCTTTTATTTATTGACCAATCAGAGTAACACATTTGCCATACAGAACATACCACAGCATGGGTGCAACTTTGTTTTTCTATTTTCTACTTCAGAATGTTCAATCCAGAAATGCAAAACCCATGGGTATGAAGGGCCAAATATACACACTGCTTTAATCACCATTGCTGGTCTTAAATTAATAGACGAAGTTCCCAAACCTGAGATCCAATTATTCAAAAGACTACTTCTCCATGTAGAGTTGTTATCAGTATCTCTTATCAGTACTACATATCTCTCAAAACATCAAGAAGCTAGGCTTGGTGGGACACACCCGTACTCTGGACTATTTACAGGAGGATTGCTAGTTCAAAGCCAGTATGGGCCATATGAGAGACTGTCTCAAACCAAGCACACAAATAAGAACAAAAACAGCAAACCTACAAAGATACAGGAAGAAGTGAGCATTGCTATTTTATTCTCTATAATTTATTGCATCTCTCAATCCTTCACTCACTGAAAGTGTATTGAGTATATGCTGATGACCAAGTTTATTTCAAAGCAAATATTCTGTTATTCTCTTTATTTCTTTTGTCACTCTCCTAAACAGGCATTTATGAATGCATCCACAGACTACTGAAACGGACTCCTAGCCATATGGATTATCTTCTATCTTATCCTGCCCACCAACTGTAAACGCTCTCCTTAAAGTATTTTTGTCTTACTGGCACTTTATTGCAAGAATAAGCTAGTAAGTCAATACATCCTAACTACCAATTTCACTTTCACCTTCTTTGATGTGAGCACTCACTACCTAACCATGTCTTCTCCTTAATTCCAATCTTCTCTACTCCAAAGTCTCCACAATATTCTCTCATTTTTATCCACACTATTTATTCCCACTTAATGCCATCTCCTCCATTAACCTATTTCTAAGGTCCTCACCTCTTCAGTTATTCTCATCTAATTTATTTTCCCTGAATATCTTATATTCTTATAATTTGAAAAATACACCAAAATATTCCAATGGCTTCAATTGTTTGAACAATGCCAACTACCTTTCACTTAGATTTTAGACCTTGAAACCTAAAGTCATCTCTGATACTGTTCTGGTTTAATAATCAAAAATATCTACCATTGTCACTTACTTAACAATTTTCCTGTTACATTTTTTAAAACTAAACAGCCTACTGTTACATCTTTAGTCTAATTTCTTTGGGTAGCAAGGTAACAAAGCAATCTCAAACAAACAAACAAACAAAAAAGACCCAAAGAACACTATTAACTTCATTAGGTTATGTATGTAGATGGTTAAGCTACTGGTGTCTGTTTCTCAGTGGACGTTTTAACATTCTACTAGAGGTGCATCCTAACTCCATCAGGAAATGCAGTTACACAGTTTCAGATCAGTTTCTTTAAAGAAAACTGTCTTGGTTAGGGTTTCTACTGCTTCATTAAACACCATGACCAAAATCCACTTGGAGAGGACAGGATTTATTTCATCTTACAGTTTGTGGTCCATCATCCAGGGAAGTCAAGAAATACTCAAGGTGAGGCTCACAGAGACTGAAATGGCAATCATGGAGCCTGCATGGGTCTGACCTAGGCCCCCTGCATATATGTTATGGGTTGCGTAGCTTGGTGCTCCTGTGGGACTCCTAACAGTGTGAGTAGGTGGTGCCTCTGACTCTTTTGCCAGCTTTTGGGACCCTTTTCCTCCTACTGAGTTGCTTTGCCCAGCCTTGATGTGAGGGTTTGTGCCTGCTCTTACTGTATCTTCTTGTGCCATGTTTGGTTGATGTTCCTAGGAAGCCTGCTCTTTTCTTAGGGAAAAAGAGGAGGAAGTGGATCTGGGGGCGGGGGGTGTTACTGAGAGGGGTAAAGGGAAGGGAAGTTGTGGTTGGGATGTATTATACAAGAGAATAATAAAAATCCTCTAAAAAGGAGATGGAGAGATGGCTCAGGGGTTAAAAGCATTGGCTGCTCTTCCAGAGGACCAGGGTTCAATTTCCAGCACCCACATAGCTCATATCCAGCTCACAACTGTCTGTAACTCCTATTCCAGGGGATCCGACACCCACATACAGACATACATGCAGACAAATACCAATGCACATAAAATACAAATAAATAATTAGAAAATCTAAAAAATTTTGTAAGCATACATTTATCTTTAAAATTATTGTATAAAGGTATACACAAGAATTGGACAAATAGCCGGGCGGTGGTGACACACACCTTTAGTCCCAGCACTTGGGAGGCAGAGACAGGCAGATCTCTGTGAGTTCGAGGCCAGCCTGGTCTACAAAGCGAGTTCTAGGAAAGGCGCAAAGCTACACAGAGAAACCCTGTCTCAAAAAACAAAAAAACAAACAAACAAAAAAAAAAACAAAAAAAAAAAAGAATTGGACAAATAAAAGATGGGAATTGGGAAGGGGTCAAAAAAAAAAAAAAAAAAGAACTCGAGCTGGGAACCTCAAGGCAGGAACTAATAAAAGACCTGCTTTTTTATAGCACCCAGGACTACAAGCCCAGGGTTGGCACCACCCACATGGGCTGGGTCCTTCCACATCAATCACTAACTAAGAAAATACTCCCCCGCCTTGTCCATAGGCCAATCTGATGGGGGTATTTTCTCAGGTGAGGTTCCCTCTTCCAAAATGAATCTGGCCTGTGTCAAGTGGACATAAAAACCAGCCAGCACACTATAATAGCAAACGTATAGCTACCCAAATACTATATGTCCTAGCAAAAGTGGTAAACTAAAACCAAATGATCTCCCAACATCAAATACTGTCAATCATCTTTCAGTCAAGACACACAAAGAAAGGCATTGCATGAGCTGTCAAAAAAGAGTGCTTTCTCTTTACTTTTCAACTGAAACTCCACAAGAACACTGATCTTACACACCCATCATCACAGTAGTTCCCAGTTCTATATATGTCTAGAGTTATTTTTGTTATTATTCCCAAGCAGCATAGTAACTGCTTATATTACAACAACTATCAAAGTAATACCAAATATACACAGATAGGAAGAGGGAGGGAGAGAGAGGGGCGGGGAGAGGGAGGGAGCAAACCCATGACAAACTGATTACTCATCAATTTCAGACATTCTCAGGACAATACTGCTTTGTTCCACTGAACACTAGCTCTAGTCAGCTCCATTGTTCCTGGGAAAGCCAGTGTCCATAATTAACACTTAATACTGGAGTGCTGAAGTACACGCAACACTGAGCAAACACATAAAAGAGAAGCCTCCCAGATGGAAGAATTTATACTAAAAGTTAGATAAAAGGCAACTTTAAAGGCTAATTAATCTATGGAATTTAGGGAGGCTTACAGATGGTACACCATTTAATAAATTTCAAACAAGGATTAGGCATTTCTATAAACAAAAAAAGCACCTGCACATTAGACACAGCATGAAGATTTCAAAGGCTGTCAACCCACATGCCTCAAACCAAAAAAAAAAAAAAAAATGAAAACCACCTGTGGCC